TACTGCTGCTGTGGTCAGCAGTTTGTGAAAACTGGATACGGCTGGCCTGTGTGCTTTTATTCTTGCAAGAAGCTAGAATACAACAGCTCAGACTCGAGGGCTGAGTAGCTGGTTATCCATGTTTGTGCAGAATCCTTCTGATATAATGAATTTAGTGGGGGGAGTTAAAAGGTAATGAGAAAGCAGAGGCTCTTTCAAAGAGAGGAGGCAGTGTTTGGGAGGGAATCAGGAAGTACTAGAGAGGTGTGTAGTAGGCCTTTATAAATTTGAGATTGGACTCAGGACTTTGGGCAAGCCCAGACTTGTTTTTCCATGGTCTCTTCTCCTATGCTATATTAAAAAAAAAAAAAATCCCTCTGGTTTGGAAGAAGGCAATCAGTGCCTTTGTCATTACTTCAAAAAGCTCCTTCAGTTTAGTGTCAGCATTGCCAATTTTCAATGCAGCACAGCTGCAGCTTATGGCTGTCAAGCAAGCTGAAAAGCAACTGATATTTTGGGGATCCTGATGTGAATAAGAGAGAATGGCATGTCAGAATCTTCACATGTAGCACTGCTTGGATACTGTGATATTCAGTTGATTACTCATATTCTGAAATCAATATTTTTGCACACTGATCATATGAAAATGAGGTGGTTTGATCCAAAATGCTGCATACGCGGCATCAGAGCAGAGAGTTAGATCAGAAGTAAGGTATGCAAGTGTCCTGTGAAACACAGTGCACTCTGCTCTCACAGAAATTGTATCTGAATCAATACAATGATCTTGAATTTAGTTATGCAAATATTTTTAGGTAAACCAGGAAAGGGGCTGCTTGTCCTTGTCAGTAAACCAGATGCATTGGCAGGGAAGGAAAAAAAAAAATCTTTCTTGCTTTACTCCTCCCATGCTGACAGCTGAATGCACGAGCTGTGCCAGTGTGAGCTCTGGTCTGGGGGTACCTGAAGGGGCAGGTGTCAGTGAGAAAGATGGGTATGATTGTGGCTTTTTCTCAGTGAGGTTTCACAGTGTTAGTCTTTAAGACGCAAAGTGTACATGATGGAGAGCTCCTTCTTTGTGTCCTTGTGCTCAGCCAGATTTTCAAATATGTTCAGGGAACAGTCAGATCCAAGTTCCCCCAAACAGTTTTGTTGGCTTCTCAGTATGTTAGCTTCAATAGCTAAACTCCAAGGCCTTTCCTCTGCCCTGTTGTCTCCTTTTGTTCCTTCACAATGAGGAGGGGAAAAGAAAGGAGTGTCTAAAGAATTTCTCAAGTGGTACAACTGCCAGTTATAATTTTCCAGGACTGCTTGATTTCAGAAAACAAAATGCACTGAAAGCAGCTTGATTACAAATACATAGGTGACTGCATGTAGTCCTTGTTACTGGCTAACAAATCTCTGACCACAGTGTGCATGTTAGGGATACCAGAATCGTGGGGCCTCAGCTTACATGACTTATTTAGCTATTTGCATTTGCACAGTTTTAATCAAATATGAATGTACTCAAACAGAACCCCTGTTTGTGTCTATATCTGCCCTGACAAATGGTTAGGAATTGCTCACTGCCTGAATTTACCAGTCATCACAACCTTTGCTCAGAAGTTGGTAGTGCTGTCCAGCCATTTTCCAAGGAGAGGGACAGGCAGGCACTGCATGGGACTCCAGGGGCCATATGTGTTTGCAGCCTGTTGTAGCTATCGAGCACATTTATTAAGGTAACATATTCTCTGAAATGGAATTAATACCTGTAAGTAAAATTGGTCCTGGTGTGCTGCCCAAGGAATAATAAGACTGTAAAAATATTTACAGTAGTTAATTAAGCTTTTTGCACCTGCTGTTTGCATTTTTAATCCCTGTTTAAGTATAGCATGCACAACTGTTCACTATTAGTAAATGTAGTGAGAATGTAAAATACCACATACATGGGAGGTACAATGGATTTGAATCTGAAAATGCTTGCTGTTTGCACAGAGGCTTTTTGGAGTTAGTGCCATAAGAGCAGGTTCAAGGTTCTGAAATATCTGTGTTTCCCCTGCTACCCCCAGGAGTACCCCAAACTGAATTTGGTGCCACAAGAATGCAAGTTCAGTAGCTACAGTTGCTCAGTACTTCTGTGGGATTGGGTCCCTGTTAAGACAAAGAATAGATCTTGCTCTATTTAGGGAATAGTAAATTTTTGCATGCATTTAATCATAAAAATGGGTAGCAAACCAGAATATGAAGTCTCTCTTCAGTTCATTAAGCAGAATAAGGGATTTTTATTTAATTCTTTTGCTACTGGAATGACCTCATCCTCCTGTTTAAAAAATAAGCATCATAATGCAAGGAGATTCAGCATATCCTTAACTGTCAGCTCATTTCTGACCTCCAAAAATAAAGGAAGAAATGAGAGGAAGACATGCAGTATCGTCACAAAAGACAGTGTAAAGCATATCGTGTCTTGGGGAAAAAAGGATGAGAACTGCATTTATTGAAACCCTGTTGAAGTTATCTTCAGTATAAAATTTCCCATTATATTTCAGAAGTAAACCATGGTCACTGAAGAAGTCAATGACAATACTGGCATGCAGGTCACTAGGATGAGATTTCTCTGTTGTGCAGGTTTATTTGAATTTAATCCAACATATGCTGAAACAAGTTTTTACTAGAAGTCAAAAATACACAATAAATAACAATCTACTGGGGAAACAACCCAGATTTTAACCATCAAAAGCAGATGTCGTTTCAGGAGTTTAGAGAAAGGGGAGTTAGAGCTGTCTGTGCTGTTAGCATTGCTTTTAATCTTGTAGCCTTCATGCTATAGAGAGAGACTCAGGAAGGGGCTTTGATATCTGGCCTTACTTTTCTTGATCACCAAGGTTAGGAATTAGTCTGAAATGATGTCTGCTGAAGAATCATAGCATTCATGGTGTCTATTCAGCTCACTACCAGCTTTTCAACATCCTCCTGTGCAGACAGTGTGCTGCTTATGGTGAACATAGAGAATGGTTGAATGCACATTCCAGCCCAGCAGAGTTCTAGCCAGCTCCACTGTCAGAGCTGTGTGAAATGGCATGCAGGCACATTGGGCTGCACTAAGACCTCCTTCACTGCTTTTACCCTGCAGGGATTAGTAGGAGATGCTTATACTCATGCTTGAAAATGCTTAAAGGTCACTTCAGTGACCCTCAACATCAGCCTTATTTTCATGTTCAGGCATAGTTGATAGAAAAGGTTGTTCTTGGAAGGCAGGAGAGGTAATAGGAGAAGACCCTTTGCATCCTCTGAGTCTTCATGATTTTAACAGTTGTGTTACCATTGTACAGAAATAACTTTGATATGCAGGCATGAGAGAAAAAGGGGAAATTATCGGTGTGATTTTGAGGTATTTAGTGCCTGAAACTAGCTGCTTGTTGCCATTGTCACTTCAAAATTTTGCCCCAATCAAAACATTCAAGGGCAGAAATATATTTCCCTACTCTTTTCATCCCTTGCATTTTCAGACTCAGAGCCCAGAGCTGAAGGCCCAGAGTGGACTTCTAGAATCCTTAAGATCATTTAAATTTATTTATTTTTAATCAGTGCCAACCTAGATCAGAATTTTACTTCTCCAATTATGTAATAAATGTTAGAAATATAACATTGTACTAAGAAATAGGGGAAAGATTTTTGTCACTGACTCCACAGGAGCACTGCCCCTAAAATCTGTGTGCAGACAGGATTCTTATTACCTATTCAATAAGATCCTTTCTAACTGTAGTGTTGGCATGTTCTGAGGCCAATTCCAAGAAGCCACGCATCCTTCTTCAGGGAAGGGAGGAATGCTGTAGCAGTGAATAAGCAAATGTGCCTTAGAGAGCTGAGTTCAGCTGCCAGCTCTGCCAGCAAATCACTCAGAGACTCCTGCACCAACTCCCTGCCTGGGGGATGAGGGCTTCTCAAGGGGCTGTGTGCAGGTAATGCCACTCAAACTTGTAATGCTTCTGGACCTTACAACAATCAGTATTTAAAATAAAATGGAACAGGCCTATCCAGCACAGACTTTAGAGAGAGACAGTCTGTCGCTTGAAATTCTACCTTGCCTTTAGTCTTCTGTAGTATTTACTGATGTATCTATTCACTGGAGCTCTTGCAGCTCCCAGGAGTTCTGTTGATGAATGGAAAACCTTCAGGGCCTTTCTGTAGGCTTTTCTGCCTGCCCGCCACAGACCCAGGAATGACCCAGGGGTGTAAGTGTTTCTGCTCAAAGGTATTTAGCTGAGGATGCTGTAAACTTCAATGTCTGTCATACCTCTGGAATACAGATTCTTGGTGACATCAAGGGTCTGTTCTGAAGGTCCCAGCTCAGCTGGGCATTCCTGTCCATTCTTGGATCTTCAAGCTAACAAGATGTTGGGCAACAGATGACCAGGGCTTATGGGCTCATATCACATTAATAAGAAATACAAGAATATATGTCACAATATTTCTTTCTGAATTTTGAGCCTGAAGAATGCTTTTAAGTTTTTTGTTTAAAAAAAAAAAATGGAACAATGCTTTTCACCTGAACTTTAGAACATCCTCCAGATATTAGGAACTTTTTCTAGTAGTCAGAATAGGATTTTTTTTCTGGTAATCTGCTCTATTGTAGTCTTATCTAAACTGTAAAAGAGGACCTGTTGTCCTGTGATGGAAGCCTTCTCAGTTAAATTCAAACTGATATTCAGGATGGCAGTGTTTATGCAACTGTTGGGTACTAGGAAATGGGAAAGGGTAGAATAAAATATTTTTGGGCTTTAAACAGTGTAATCTTTTGGATCTGCATTGCAAGAGAAGAGGCTCTTGTTTTTGTCTCCTCTCATCTCGAGTAATGTTGTTCTGTGTTCTGAATTTCTTTGTTTATTATCCTTTAAATGGGAAAGTCTGAAAAATTGTCTCTTACGGAGATGTTAATTACAACTGACACTATCTTACTGTCATAAACCATAAGCTATTTTCCTACTGATTGAGGTATTATGTGTTTTTCAACCTGCAGGAAACGTTGCTTTCCTTTGTTCATTATCTCCTGCAAGATGATGAGTTCTAATCAGGAGGAGGTCACTTTGGGCGCTTTTCTCCAGTATATTGAAGATATGGGGATGAAGGCCTATGATGGCTTGGTCATACAGAATGCATCAGACATTGCTCGAGAGAATGATCGCATGAGGAATGAAACAAACCTGGCTTACTTGAAAGAAAAGAGTGAAAAACGCCGAAAGCAAGAAGAAGCAATAAAACGGTAAATATTTTGATAAAAAGATGAGTGGTCTGGCAGAGTAATGGAAAGCAAGGGATTCAGATATGGTGAATGTGTGTAGAGCAGTTGATTTCTAAGCTGGCAAAAGCAGCACAGACCGTTGGCCTCTGTCAGGCCTCTAGCACGTGTGGTTTATATTGTGTAGACATAGTTTGAGCATGTGTGGCATCTTGAACAGGTGTGATTTGTAACAAAAAGTTTGGGTGTTTGGAATAGATGTAAATCTAGTGACAAATGGGTTGTTATCCTCTTAGGGCTTTTAGATGAACAGATTATACTTTGTGCAAAAATGTATTTGTGTGTGAGCACGATGGGGACAGTCTCACAGGTCAAAATAGACTCTTCTTTAGTTTATGTTTTAAATCTGCTAAATTTTCAAAGCTTTCTAACTGGTGTCTGAGGTTTTTTTTAAAAGAAGCAACTATTATTTACATTTTCCTTTCAATTCTCTAATCTCTGAAGTCAGTAACAATATTGCAATCACTTACAGGAAAATGGATCAAGCCCCTGATGGGCAGAACCCTATAACAGCTCTTTTTGAACAATTCCATTGATTTTAATTGACAGTTAATGAGAGGAGCACTTGCATGACCTGGTGGCTTGTGCCAATGGATATCAATGAAATCTCTGCAGCCTCTTGGAGAGGAAAAGAAGGTTGAATGGAATAGATATATATAGATATAGATATATATATATATCTATATATCTATAGATATATAGATATATATAGATATAATATTTGCCAGTACAAAAAAATTTATTTTCTTGAGGTGAAGGTAAAATTCTGTAATAGAGGTAAATCCTCCACCCAAATCTTTACCTTTTATATGTGAATGGATGGCTTGAGCATAAACTGATAGGAGGTCCTTTGAATTTTTATCCCCAGCATGATTCTTCTGTATTTCTGTTTAAGTGATTAAATTTTATGCTATGTCTTGGGTACTGTACACCCAGGTATAACAGACATGCTGTGCTGTGAACGCTCGAGCAACGCCTCGGTAGTCTGATAATTTTGATGGAACATTAAAAGGAAAAGAGCAGCACACACAGTTTGAGAGAGAAGAGAGATGAAGGAATTTAAAGCAAAAATATGGCTGCTTTATGTTCCAGGAAGTGGAACTATTTGGATTGTCAGCAATTTCATTGGAGCGATAAGAATAATGTGAAATTAAGGTGAATACAGCCAATTAGGTGGTACTCTGGCTAATCTGCTTGCACATACTTTTATATGTGTGACCATAAAGGTTACTAAGTACCAGAACAGATTTTGTTATGAATAGTTTTCTTGGACATGAGAGAGTAACTTATGTGCCTACCTGGTTCTTTATAGTCCTCTGGCCAAGCTTCTCTACCTCATTTGAATAGTAGTGACAGTATTTCCTACAATGTGTTTGGTTTGTGTGGTTTTGTTCATTGATCCTGGCAAAGCTATTTGATGAAGAGCTCTGGAGAAGTACAGATGATTTAGGGCTGAGCCAAACCATGAAATTCTTGCCCACACTCAACTGAGATCAATGAGAACAGAATATTTATCCTCAGTCATAGAGCCAGAAGACAGGAAGTAGAGGGCCAGCAACACAGTGGGCTTATTAGAGGAACAGCATGTATTTGCATGTGGTTTGGAGATAACATTTCCTCAATACAGTGCTCTTCTGTAGGAAACTGTTTGCAGTGATCCCCTCTGATCCCTCCCTGCAGGCACACAGTTTGTGGTGATTGGGATGGGGCTGGCCCAGCCTCATCCCCAGTGGCACAGCTGTGAGCAGCAGGTGAGCAGCACTGACAGCAATGAGCCATGGAGTGCCCAGGGGCACTGACCAGCACCAAAGGGAGCAGAGGGCACACAGGGGCAGGGCATCAGCATGAGGGGATAAAAGGCTGGGACAAAGAACAAGAAGGGCAGCTGCTTGCAGCCTTCTGCAGGGATGTGATGTTCCTCTGTATGGGCAGACACCTGAAGCCTTCTGATGTGGTAAGGTGTTACTGTGTATGGGCAAATGCTTAAAGCTTTGTGAAATTGTATGTTGATATTCTGTGTGTCATGGCCATCTCGACTGGGGCATATGCTGTGGCACCTCCCTACTTGGCTTATCTCAATAACACTGCGGGGAGAACAATATCTGCCTGAGGAAACAATGTAGGAAAACATCTCAGAAAATGATGAAAAGCACTTTCTTTAAGTCTTTTTTGCTTTCTCCCATGTAAACTTGGAGAGGTAAAAAAAGATACTTGAGATCAACTTTTAATGGGAAAAACTAAAAGCAGTAGCAGACCAAGGGAAAATACCTGATTTGACTAAAGGAACCATGATGTCTGAAGTCACTTAGGCTGATTGCAATTGAGTTGGCTCCCTTTAGTAACCTCTAGAGATTTATCCAAGACTGTGCTGTCTATTGAAATGCAACAGTCAGGAAAGGTAAAGTAGGAACATTGATTTCTTCTTTGCTCTGCACTCTATTCTTTATGCCTTTATCTTGTCTTGGTGGGTATTTTTATTATCCCTAATTCCTGAGAGCGTGGCCTAGATAGCAAGGGGTGCACATGTGCAGTGGTAACTGCTACCAGTCTGGAGACTTCCAATAGCTGAAAACAATCTCCTTAGCAACAAGAGAGTCATCCCCTGCAATTAACTGCAGGTAGATTTTTGGGAAGGAGAGAGAGTTCCCACAAATACTCTTCTTTTGCATGTGAGAATCAAAATAAAGCAGCCAGAAGCCTTTGGCACCTACTGAGAATTACCTGCTAGTCCAAATATTAAATTATTTAGAAGCTATTCAGTTTTAGTGTTCAGATGTCCTCTATTAGAAGAAGGCTGTGTGTGTATATTAACAAGATAATAATGAGTAATATATTGTCTAATAAAGTGGTGGTATCACACACAACACTATTTAGAAGCAGCTGTTATTTACCTAAATCATCTCATAACTATGCTGAATGACTAAAGTTCATTGAAATGCATTAGTCTGAGCAGTCTGGAAACAAGATCTGAGAAATGACCTAAAAAAAAAATGTTTGATCGTACATTTTGCTTTCCAAAGGCTACATTGGGCTGTTTCTTCAGTAGCACTGATGTACCTTCCGTCTGATTGCTGTCTCATGGTGTCTGCCTCTGATAAGTTAATTGTGGGGAAAAATGTATGGATCCATTGTACGTTGCGGGAGATAAACACAGCGTATTGGATTGGGAAAAATAAAAGCAACTAGTCTTTGTCTAATCTTGCTGGGCTGAGTCAGCTGATCTGATCTGAATTTCTGACCTAATTTTAGTATGGTTCTCAGCGCTCATGCGGAGAAAATAAGGTTAATGTGCTGATTAGTAGCTGAGAGTAGGGCACAATAAATACGTATGTATATAGCACATAATGTATAGATGATTTTTCTTCCATCTTTTATTCATCTGGTCTAATTACATGATCGTTGTCTATTCAGGGAGCTGTGTCCAGATTAAGAGAAGGTGCTGGCATAATGCCCACAGAGCCTGTAAATTGCAAATAAAGTTATGGAGCAGTATCATTTTCACTGGCAATACCATGGGATGTACATTTGCCATGATACAACAGCAGCTGTAGGCAGCATTTCTGGGAACAGAAGGTAGATTTGCCTCGCTGTTGTGGGTGCCAGGAAAAAGGTGAGTATTTGGAGTTTATATAGGGCATCTGCTGGAATTAGCAATTGCTTTCTGACTCATCCATAACTGACGTGCACATATTTAGATACTTTATTATTGTTTTGTGTGGATACTTCACCAATGTTTTCCCTTTTTAATTGCACAAATATGAAAACTTGGGAAGAAACAAATAATGAATCCTCCTCCTTTGATGGCTCAGACATGTTGCATAAATCAGAGTGCATGCTTTCAAAGGTCTGGCTTCTGTTTTTTGTGCATCATTCAAGTTATTGTCAGAGAAGTCATTTTCACTTGTAACACTGTGAAGATGTGATTACTCCACTGTAAAGCTGGTAGTGTCAGTGGGCATGAATTTCTGCCTGCCAAATCCTGGACTTAGTCATGAAAATATTTACTTCTAATGGTTTTCCTTACTTGTAGCTCCTTCCCAGGATCTAAATGGCTCTATGGAAAGCCTTGCTTGTGCTTGTATCCAGACAGATGCTGTCAAGAGGAGGAGCTTTTAGGAGCACTGTTGTGTGCTAAAGCTAGCAGAAATGGGCCAGCCAACCAGTGGCAGAGTTAAGCTCTTGTAGTAAAAAGGAATTGTAATGAACAGCTGTCAACATAACCTCTCCTTTCTTTGGCAAACCAAGTACTGAAGACTAACCCATCAGCAAAAGTAAGATCATATTTTTCTCTTGCTTTTTTTTTTTTCTTTTTTTGAAGGGGTTGTGGAAGTAATTTAATTCAGGTATTATCTTTCTGTAGTCTTCTGTCATTCCTATCCTTAGTTTCCCTCATGAACAAGACGTAAATTATGTGTCCTTTAGCTAAAAGTTGTGTTATCAAGTGTGGGTGTCAGCAAGAAAATATAAAAAGATTTCTAAGCATGGGATTATTCACTGCCAAAACCCTGTTCAGCTGAGAAAATGTGTGTAATCTTAGACTACATGGACATGCTGAAGAGTTTTTACCAAAATATTTTTACCAGAATAAAAAATAACCTAAAATAATTTCATTATGAACTTAATTTCTAAAATTTTGTCTTGAAATCAGAACAATACTTTAGGTGAAGGTATTTTCTTCTTTTCTGAATGTCTGTCTGTAGCTGAAATTCTGTGTAGTAAACTGTGTCTTCTAAATTTGCAGGAATAATTATGCTTGCTAGATTACAGTATGTTTATAGCCTGACCTCAAAAAAACGGTGAAGGAAGTGAGTTAAATATTATGGGTCATGGTGAGAGCCTCAGCTGAAATACCTGTAAACACTTTATTGAAATATTATACATTACAAGCTTGTTAGCCCATTGTTTTTGGCTCGGTGTGTTGATGTAAGTTGTGGGGTTTTTTTGTTAGGATTTCTGTTTTGGGT